CCAACCCCACAAATCTGTTTTTCGAATATGGCAATCATAAACGCAGTCATGAGGTGTGATGAAGCAGAAAGAAAATGATGTGACACGTGCTCCATCAATGATATTGGTGCAGCATTTGGGACGACATAGATAGAGTCAGAGAATGCGTGAGTGACTGAACTGTGGGCAGAGCTCAGCTGAGTATATCTGGGTGGAACCATCATATGACCACGAACACACGTCTTTGACACATCATGAACTATAGTTCCGTAAGAGTTGCACTCGAGAAAATACATGGTTGATATCCTCACATACAGTTGCAAAAGTTTTAGTGGTTTCGGATTAGCGGGACACGAACAAATCAACGTCACAAGCTCTTAAGGACAATGGGCAAACCTAATAGGCACTTGTAATCTATCGACTTCTTTAACTATTGCGTGTTTTGTGCAACAAACCTTGTTCTATTTCTATTCCTAGTTCTGCCTATCTATCTATCTATCTATCTATTTATCTATCTATCTATCTATCTATCTATCTATTTATCTATAAAGGAATAAGTAAACGGATTATACAATTCCACCCTTGTTTATCAGGCCGCATAGCCATAAAATACCACGAAGATCATGGTTACATATGCACTAACCTTCTCCTTTTCCACAAAATCCACGAAAGCCGCTCGTTCAATTTCGATCGGATGTCGATTTTGATCGTACAGTGCAATCACAAAATGGAAAAAATTGCTTTTCCTCAAATTGTTCGGTGGTTGCTTTTCAAATCGCGCGGACAATGCTTCCATTCGGAGTGGTCTTTGTGAGTAGCTTCAAAATGCAAAAGAACATACGGTACCAAAGGTAAATCTTATAATCATTTTCTGTTACTGCATGATCACTGAAACCCGATTCGTTTCTAACGGTCATTTTGTTGATCAAGTGCAGTATAATAGGACTATATATGAAACGCCAGAATAAACCAGAAACAGTGACAACTTTGAATATGAATTTTGAGGCAATGCGAAAAGAATAGATCATAAAATGTGATTCGTTGAGCAGAGTTAATCGATCGACAATTAACTTTGAAATATTTGGAAATGTATCATTAAATAATTTTTTTTTGGGGGGGGGGCATGAGCTAAATTAAAGGTATCCATTAATGCTGTAGTATATTAGGCATACTGGGATGGATTCTGTTATCTCCCAGATCAGTCACAAGGCTTGCAGATCACGTGATCATTCTGAATATATTTGCTTCTGCAATTGCCTATTAGGATCACGCTGAAAATTCCCTCGCATAAAGCGTACTTTAACTTAACTTTGAATGAAAATGTGCCGGCAAAGTGGCAACTGAACGGAGAGACCACCCTTTGTCGTCACTATTATTAAAACTTATTACTCCCAACATTACTCCTAACAAGTTTTGTTCTCCTTTGTTATAATAATGCGTTCTCCCCATTTTACTTTATTGCCCCACTGTAGTGTTTTCCCGGTCTACTGAAACAAGACTTTAAAACTATCCGTCATGGATTAATAATAATACGCCGTGCATCTTCAATTTCTGCCAGTCATTAATCACAGAACTTATTAATGGTCATATGAAGTCTTGTGTGACCTTTGCCAATAAGATTCTAAACGAGCCCCCCTCCCATCCTTTGCATCTTGATTTATCTTCTTGTAGCCCCCACTTGATCACTCGTTCCTCTGATCGGTATCTACTGTCTGGAATAAACATTTATAAAATTTCCCCTGTACCATATCCGGCTCGAATCTTGACCAACGAGGAACGAATTATAAATGAATTACGTCAATCTTTACTTAAATAAATCAAACTTCGGTGACATTTTTTTACACAGCACTCTACTGGATTTGTCTATACTTCTTTATTTTCTTCAGTGTGACGACCAGTGTACAATTTTTAACTGAAATGTAAGCATATCTTAGCCTGCAAAAGTTATGAAAATACAAATACTTCAGCGTTTTAGTAAAAAGCTGATAATTTCTGTTTTAGGCCGCAGATCATAATAAAATGAATTCCGGGACGTTAAGCAGCAATTGACAATGTGATATTGGCCCTAAGTTGGCTACTAACGGTCAATCCGGAAAGCTCAAAACGATTGGTCTATTTATTTGACTGTCATCCAGTGTGTCCAGTAGATTTGACGAACACGCGCTGATGATGATTCTCAACAGAAATAGCCCAGTTTCTCAGCTGTTCCGGAGCATTCAAGTCAGAAATGACATTTTGGTTTGTTATGAAGTATCGAGTATGACGAACAAACCAAGCCTCAGAAATAGGTTCACATTATAAGGATAATGATCGTGATTATGAATTTGTGTTGTTCCTGTGGAAAGTGCTTTAAACGTATTCAGTCAGGTGATAGAAATCTAACTGAAACATGAGTAACCTAATGAAATAAGAACAATGGGTACAGTTTCAGTGTTCGGAGAGCAAGTACCAATCAAACTCTGATAGTGCCATACCTCGTTGGTATCATTCAACCACATTAGAAGAATTATTAAATATCCAAATAATATCTAAACTTCGGTATAAGTTACGATATTCCATCGAGCATCTATTGATTGCGTCACGCGCACGAATGTGTCCATCCTCTGATCGGTTGATTACATGCGAGTCTCACATCACACTTTCCCGTTCGGTCCGGTGTTCGCCTTAAGCTCCGGTCGACTCTGATTTTCTTGTCGTATGTTCTAATCACTATGTAGGTAAACAAAAGATTAATTTTCCTAAATTTTTTTGTGCATCCTACCTTTACCATGCCTCTGCCATAAGGTTATCGAAATGGTTCCCGAGGCTATTGCCTAATCCACCCTATCCGTAGCAAATTTTGTATGGAATCAATTCTACTGCTATGAGTAATAGAAAGCTACACCTTCCTCCCATAGAACTTTAGGCCAAACCCGCAGTGCTTCTACCCTTTAGTCTCGACTTTAGCCATAAAGATGTAAGCGGTTCAGATCACCGAAGGTTGAAAATTTTTATTTCCTCCAAATTTTGATGTTGCAAACGCATTTTAGATTCCCCTCATGGTACCATCATGCGGCTAAAGCTTGATCGGAAAACGTGAAGTGAGAAAGAGAGAATCCTCATCGAGATTGCCCAATGGTTTGGTGAAACGTTAAGAAGCATAAATAATTACCCAGCAAAAGCCTTGATGTTCCAGCACAGCCCACCTCCTCATTACTCAGCCATCCCCCTGCATTGACAGCGTCACCTGATTCGGTATCCCCAGGTTCATTTGAGAACAATGAGATTACCTTAGGTGAATGATAGGCTAGGTCAGTTTCTCCTAAAGTATAATCATAACGGCTAGACCAAATGTGATCTAATCGAGTCGATGAATATCTCGCAAGGAATGATGACCCTTTCCGGGGCCGACTGGCTAGGGTGGGGGCGGGGTAGGACACAGGTGACATATTCGCAATCACAGTCCAGTTAATCATAGGGGTAACCGAACACTATGATTGAGGGACTGAATCAGCAAGTCTTCTCACATAATTGCATAGTGAACAATGATGACGAACAAGAGAAACCCTGATCAAATTAAACGTTAGGTTTTGTGAAATTATCGAGGAGGGGAGGTGGAAAAGACGGTCTTGATCCGTAATCATTCTGACTGGTCACAAAATGAAATGAAGGAGCTCTCGACACGATAAATGCATAAGACGGGATTGGAATATCAATCAATCGCAACTTACGCATTGATTGAAAAAGTTAACGATCACACAAATAATGAGTTTCTCTTTAAAAAGGTGACATCCGTTCCGCTATGTCGAAAAACAATAGCTACGAAGTGCATTATCAGGGAATGGATACTGGGAGATCGACTTAATCAATACATTAATAGTATTGTATTCAGTTCCAAGAATCCCAGCAGTAGCATCAATGACCACTTCCCACTGTCTTCACCCTCATTAAGTCAAGCATATTCGTATTCCGTCAGTCACCGTAAGTTTATTATCCGGGTACAGTTACCCGTTTCCTCGTTTGGTATTTATCACTTCGGTAGAAAATTGCCCAACCGAATTAGTAGTTGAATTCTGTGATTATTATTATTATTCGTAGTAGTAGTAGTAGTACTAGTAGCAGCAGCAGCAGTAGTAGCAGTAAATTTAACGTCATTTGCACATTCTTTTTCATTAGGGTCGACTGGGGAACGCTGAGCAGTTTTCTGCAGTCAACCCAAGTAACGGAATGAATTGAAAATTGTCCAGTTGTATACGTACACCATTTCTTGTGGGAATTTATTCTCGAGTCGGATGCTTCTATCATTAGCTTCGATAAAGTCTTATACAGTCAGTCATATACTGTCTGTGGTAAAATAATACAGAATATCGGTATTAATATCCGGGTTGCTAGGCTTCCACCAGTTTAACCCACAATCAATGTGATGATTCTTCGAGGTTAGTATATCTCAAATAATATATCTAAATATTCAGAGATGAACTCGAATAAACAAGATGCGTGTTACATACTTCAGGAGTAAGTTTCTGCAGTCTGACACCCATTGACTGGTGCAGTCTGCGTATGAAACCAACCAGCCATGCAGCTCGGATGTGATGATACGAGGCACTTACATTCACACTGAACGGTTAACGTCTTCCCAGATTAGCTAATTCGTGATGACGCCAAAGTGATGTGTGTGTGCGATGTATGTGGAAAATTTTCAAGCAGGGCTGATAGTTCACTATGACAGCGCTGTATACCGATGTTCTCCTCAAAGTCCAACGAGTATTCTCATCGATTTGTTCAACCGTGTTTCCAACTTTTCCACCCAAATCAACTTGAATATTAAAACAACTCCCAAAAATTCAAGTTCGCACATCATCCAATCCGTAAGCATTAATTTCAAATGTGAAATTTATACGGAAAAAACGCCAAATAATTACCGTTGCACGGAGGAATTCTGATTGGGGTTAAATAAATTTCCACCATTTGTCCTTCCGAATCCCGGCACAGGTGTCGCTCCCATGGCAACAGCAGCATTATCAAAAAGACAATTTACCGAATTGCTCATAGCACCCAACTGACTGAGTTGATGCGCCGCAGCGGCCGCCGAATAGGCATTGGCCACAGCCACACCACCACCACGACTGCCACTGCCATTACTGCTGATTCCGTTCGATGCGGAACAGGCAGTAGATGAGGTGCTACAACCAGGGTTAAATCCATTATGGACCGGAACAAATCCATGCATTGGTTGGGCCATATGAAAACCGGCAGAGCCTATCTGAGTGCATAAGTTGGTAAAGTGATCTTCGTTGGGTGGAAGCGCCCCGGAAGATGATGAACAGCCTGCGCCTTGGACTTGTTGCTGTTGTTGTTGTTGTTGTTGCTGCTGCTGCTGCTGCTGCTGCTGCTGGGCAATCCATGATCGAACCAGTCCGAACTGGTTTGCTGGATTCAGTGGATCCGTTATAGCAAACACATCGCAATCATCTCTTCGCACCTCAGCATCACGTCCCGCGGAAAATCCAGGTACATTATTTTGTAGTAGGTAATTCGATGTGTGATGACCGGCCGAGCCAGAAACACCGGAAGAGCGAGCAGGGAAGTAGGGAGACACGGGGTAGTGGTTGGGGATCAGGGGAAAACTTGAGGAGACCAGTGGTGAATACAAATCGTTCATATCTCTTCCAGTTCCTGTGCCCAAATGAGCGAATAGATACGACTGACGTGAATCCAAGACGTGAGATTGACTGGTTTCATGACCATGTGTTCCGGATGTCGATTGTGATGTGTCCATCGGGGTTCAAAAGGTGACTTGATATGGACCACGTTATGAATCCATGTTTTCCCGGTGGACGACAATGAGGCATTAAAAAGAGACAGTAGGAAGAATACATATTCTGCATTAGTGTATACAATAAATGTGATACAAGGTTATAGGAAATTTAAAAAGAGAATGTTATCGATTTGAATTGTGAAAAGTTCGGTAGCCTCGTTGGGATTGGAACCCACGCACGGAGGCCGCCTACCCTTTCGTACTGCTGAATAACTGAACAATTACCGATGTGTCAAACCCATCTGATGGCGAACAGAAAACGGTAAACATCATTCCATTTCAAGAATTAGTATGACCATCAGCTTGACCAAAAATAATCGTTCATTGCAACTACTTCGATTAGAACGGGAATCACAGAAATTTTGTTTGATAAACTTCGTGTTATACAAAGCGAAGGAACTGTGAATTGAAAGCTAGGAAACAATTCCATTTGAGTATTTTGATCTTTTGGGCCTAATGAATAAGACAACTGTGTCGATTAAACTGAGGATCAAATCCGAGACCTCAGTGTTAGAACACAAGCATATTACTTAAGTGACTACTGTCGTGTACATCACGCCGCGATCATTCGAACCCTGACCTCCGGGACTATGAGTCTGTCAAAAAAACATTCCCAACTTGACTAAACTGGCACAAAATGTCCGGGTTTTCAAAAATGCAAAAACAGTATTATCTGGAGAACTGGAAAGGACTGGCTGATGGAATATGTGCTTATAAACCCTAATCGCGGGACACGGTATGAAGTTGGAGTGAAAGCAATCGGCGGACTGACCCAATGTGAACCTTATCTTTAGGTAGTGGATTGTCCCACTCCCGAATTCCATGCTAATGCTCTTTTACATTGTTCTATAAATCACCAGGACAACAGCACTCTTCGAATTTAGCATATAGCAACAGCAATAATAATAATGGTAGTAGTATATGAACCTTGCCTCCGAAAGTGTTCATTATTCTCCAAATATTAGAAATCATACCTTGCCAATCAATGAATCGCGGATATTACTAACAGCCATGAAGTATTATACACTTATTTCCTTTATTGAAAGTTCATCGGGCAGCTGGCTGCTCAAACTAAGATGGACGCAGGTGAGTCTCGCATATCACCATCAGATTGATTCCAGTGGTTATTGTCACATCAACACCGCATGCACTTTTACAATTATTTTATTTGTCAGACATTGTTTGCACCGTGAAAAAGACCAGTAACCTCCGTGGGATTCGAACCCACAACTAGACGCTGTCCACACTGTGGTACAGTGAGTGCATTGATCAACCACCCAAAATACGCGCATGAGTTCATGCATGAGGTTAAATCTGTGTCCGAGGTTACTGGTCCTTTTACGATCCAAACAACATGTACTGTCAATAAGTTTCAACGCTGGCCAAATACTTTTACCCCGCCACTTCAAAGGCTTTCCCGTACCAATCCGGATACTTTGGTATTGTATACGGAATGATCATCTCAATGAAAATACCACAATTCATGTTTGTCGTTATGTTGTTTTCCAAATTTATCCCACTAACTTCTTTTACTCGCAATGAGATCCAAGAATCACTGTGCAACGCCGTTTCAGAATGTTAGCAAGTTGTAATGAAAAATGTTGGGGTTAACAACAAATTTCCCCAATTAATTTAATTTTTATATTTATAATCTAATTAGAAATCATAATATTAACCAGTACGAATGCACAATACCATTAAATGAACTTGTTAAAAGGAGCAATCAATTTAAGTCCTGGGGTTTAGAAAAACCAAAAACTGATCGGTCACCGTGCTTATCGGCACATCTATCTCCGTTGAGCCTTATCAATATCAATAGTCGCGCTTTCAAAGCATAGGACACAACTCTCTCTCTCTCTCGCAGGCAGCAGTAGTGTAGGCTGTAAGATATTGTTCCAATGTCTTAAACATTTTGTGCTCTAATCTTGCCCTTGTCACAATAACAGTTTTCCTCATTTACTAACTAATAAGCATCACTGACTGAGGTTTGTTTATATGCTTATTTGTCACTATGTGCGTACAAAACAACGACCAAAAGTATGTTGTAGATCATTAGATCGAAGTAAAAAGCGGTTATTAGTTTGAACTTAATGGTCTGTTAGTTATCGCATAGGGTGACAAAATCGTACCATTCCGGTATTTTGTTGATTTTCAGAATGTAATCTAAAGAACTCGGTAAAATGTCTTTATTGAACCACAAATTGATCCCTTAAAAATAAATTATCTGTCTAACGAGAACGCAGTATTAATAAGAAAGATGCTGACAATTGTTTTTAAAAACACCAGTAAATAACTTGAATGGCCCATGCTGAGCAACACATTGGCGTCAAACTTTCCACAGCGAGAAGGGACTTAAAAACATTTAAATGACTTCAGTTCAGATACACCCGTGGTCCGAAATCGATTATGGTGCCCAACGTGGTGGTGGTGATGGTTTATGCTACCTCATTGTTCCTATACAGACTGGCCCGTTCGTTCCCGACCGATTTCATTTTTGACATTGTTGGATAGGGAAATCAGGGAGTTGAAAGATGTAGCATTCACGTGCGTTCAATAATAGTCAATGTTTTATACACTGTGGCCATATAATCAACGACTGCATTTTCGGTGCGTGATAGATGGCAGATTTAGAACAGGAAACGCGTGTTTACAGAAAATAAACGCAAACGGAGATGATAATTTCTTTCTCGGTGCATGTCGTTTTCAGCGTCTACCCACTGGTCCCGTTCAGCTTCGAACCTGAGCGACACACGACGGATGGCCTAGGTGTATCATTCACTTGCTCAACGGACCGGCTGACTGCAAATAAAATAGCAGAATCGTGATTGCACTGACCTTCAAACGCCAGAAAATAGGACGTAGTCGGAAACATTTGGAAGTGGATTACTANTGCAACCAGGGTTGACCCCTGGAACTCTCCTACCGGTGAACCTGATGGAGCACACTGTTCGATAAAAGAGTCAGGGCAACAGACAAGCTGAGACAGGACTGCATTCACCATCTGTCCATGAGAAACCAGAAGTGGAAAACCCCATCCTATTCTGTTATAGATATAAATGTAACGATTACAAAACTAATTCATACGTAAACAATGATCATAACACGACAAGTTAATTTCGAATTGAATTGAATCGATTTATTTCGTCGGTTATTCGATCGAACCGCTGAATTGGTAGATAATCTAGAAGGTGAGGTAGTTTCATGGAATTCTTATTCAATTGCGGTGTTCGGTCTTAAAGGTTATGTCGTACGGTCTAGGTTGCGCTGGTTTGATAATACACATACAAGTATCACGTAACTATCACCTTGCTCACAACGTACGTATAGTTTCACTACTCACGATAAATGTGGTGATTAATTTAGATGAAAACAACGACAGCACATTGATCTATTAGATTTCAATTTATTGAAGAATGATAGATAGAGAAATAGTTTAAAATGACAAGACACGGTAATGATTGTTTCCGATAAAAAGAAAACAACCAATGGTTAAAAGATAATCGTGGTTTATTTCGTTGAAAATCTAAAATAGGAAAAAGAAAAATCAGGATTCTTACTCACCTCAGTTTGTGTATGTTCGTCCAAACTCGAAGGCCGTTTCACATGCGGGGAATCACGATCGATAATAACGTGAGATCAATGGCTATCTGAGAGTGTTGAAATTATTCGATTGTACTTGGCTCACTCAAGGACGAATGAAAAATAACATTGTATACCCATGAGGATATTACAGTCTGAGTGGCGAAGATTGATGCTTTGTGTCAAGGGATTTACCGACCGATTATAATGTACCTGAATTGATTCTCTTTGACGTACATTCCTGTGCAAACGCACACAGACATATGCGCGCGCACACACGCACAGCGCTATCCAGAAAAAAATCGGAGGGGATACTGGTCAAAGATATGTTGATCCAAGGTCAAATCGCTCCAAGTGAGTAAAAAGTAACACACGGACTTGATTCCTTCTCCCAAGGGTCAAGGATTCAGGTAGAGAGAGAGAAAGGGCACGAGAACGGCTGTCAAGCAGAAGTGGAGATACACGAACAGAACTGGCGAGGAAAGGCGAGAAAGCGGCTCTCCAGGGACACGTTAGTTTGGACTATTTTGAGCTGCCTCGTTCGATCGATTCACACCCGATCCGACAGTTACAGAGATGCCACCAGACACGTCTCCTGGGTTTTGCTTCTGCTGTTTCTGTTAGTGCTGCTGCTGCTGCTGTTGACTACTTCAGTGGTGTCGTAGGTGCACGGTGGCGCTCGAATCCAGTCCCGCTGAGACTTGCTCGCACACACTTGTGATGCTGTCAGGTTCCGCTCACGTTGCGATCACAGTTCCTTCGGGACTAAGACTTTTGGGAAATGTGGTACGTTCAATCACCCGTGTGGGATGGCCTAGTTGAATAGCTTGATCAACAGTATGGTCTGTGTGAGTGTTAATTCACGCGTGTGTATGCGTGTTTGGATGCGTGCGTGCGTGCGTGCGTGCATGTTCTCCCAGTATGAGAAGTAAGCCATTCAAATGGACGACGACCCACCTGCTTCTTCTTCATCCTATTTGGATCCCAGCTGCCTTACATAAAAATCGATTTTCTC